CCACTAGCACATAAAGCTATTGAAAGTCCTTTTATAAAATATTGGGTCATTGAAGGCCCAATAACATATAAGCGTTATCCCTTTGGGCCCAAAGATCATGTTGATGGACTAGCAAGGCCCAACAAGCATGATTTGAAACTCATAAGCCCAAAGTTTGTAAGTTTACTCATCGTAGGTATCGCGTATCGTTTGGAGAGTTTGATTTTGATGTTAGTTATATTGTATCGATTCGAGACCGAATCGATTCGTGTATCACGATATTTTGAGTCAAAGATGTATTCGTCTTTCGATTTGTCGGTAGTCGTAGCTTTGTAACTTGACTTAATGAAATAGTTTGTCTAAGTAGAAGTTTGACCTTTTCATTTCCTTTCTTTCATAAAAATAACAATTGAAGTCCTTTAAATAAAAGAATTTCATTTTTAGTCCTTAAACAATTTCTTGACACTTTTGCATCATAAATTTGTTGAAATGATAGTTTTAATCCAAAATTTATTTTGATAACAGGTTCAGCCCTTTTAAAATGGTAACTCCTGATTAAAACCCCATTTTTCACAACTTTTACAGTTTTGGCCCAAAATCCAAAAACTTTACATTTTTGATCCTTTTTGGAATTAAAAAGTATTTTTGACCTTTGAAATAGTTTTATTACACTTTTTGTCCCCTGTTTTGCAGAAAGTTTCATTTCAGCCCCTTCAAAACATCATTTTTCGCAATTATGGGCTTATTGGGCCAAAAAGCCCAAATTTAGCCCATTAAGCTAAAAATTTGCATTTCAAGTCCTTTGAAAATTATAATATTCAGAAAAATGATTATAGAAACTGTTTTGACCCTTTTGATCCTCAAGAAGCCGTGACTTGACCATGTTTGACTCTAGTTTTGCATATTTGACATTTTAAGCCCAAAATGGGTTTTTATGTTGAAATATGTTCATCAAAATCTTATAAGTTATTATTCTTGACTTGTTTAGTGTAGAATAACTTAGATTATGTTTGTTTCCCTTCTCATGTCCTAGATCTCGAGTTACACTCCTTTTTGGTTGCATATTCATCACAAAAACACATAAAATCGCACACAAACATGCATAAAATCACATATAGCATACACATACACATAGATCTACACATTTTCTTGTATTCTCCCCCATAAAACATATGAAAACCGAAAAGAGAGGGGTATGAAGCTCACCTTGAGTTGTGGTTTCGGTTTTTGAAGAGAGGAGTGAAGAAAATTTCGATCCTAGAAGCTTTCTTGGAAAATCTCGAACTTAGATGTTTCTAAGGTGCAAGATCACAAGTTTGATTAGATTTAGAAGAGATTTTGATGAAATGAAGTAGCTAGATCATGAATTAGTCATCAACTTACCTTAGATGATGAATTACTTGAAGAAAATCCTTAGATTTCAAGCCAAATTTTCGAGATCTTCAAAGGAGAAGAAGATGATCTTGAGAGTGGTTTAGAGAGAGTTTTTTTGGTGAGGTGTGTGTGTTGTGTTCGGCCGAGAGAAGAAAAGAGAGAGAAGAAGAGAGTGGTGACGGGATTGTTGCATGGAGATATGAGACTTAGCATGGGAATCCAAGAGATAATGGTGAGGTGGCTACCAAAAGTCAACTTCTCTTTCTTTGTGGGCTTGGGGCGAGAATGGAGAGGGGAAGAAAGAAAATGATTGGGCCTTGTATGCTTAAGCCCATATCATAACTTATTAGATGATTTTTGGTCCAAAATAAATCAAGGTATAATTTTTTATGATTCATTAGGGCTAAATTAAATTGGTTGTGACCCATTAAGGCCCATTAAAGTTAACCTAATTTATTTTGGGTTCATAAGGCCCAAAAATATTAAGTTTCATGTATATAGGTCCAATTAGGGCCCATTTGAGAGTTCTAGGTTCAAGATAGACAAATTGGAAACTTATTAGTCCATTAGGCCCAATAAGGGAATCCTAATCCAAAATGGACTTAAACCGGGATTTCAAGGGTTTCCAATTCTTTGTTGACCATTTGTAGTGCTAGAATGAAGTATTTGATGAAGTTTTGTTGTTATGGAATAAGCATCATGCATGCTTTCATGTTATTGATTCATAGTTGTTATAAGTGTTGTAGTTACAAGGCACCAAAATTCCTAGTTGTGACACCAAGGCTCTGATACCAACTTGTAACACCGTAAATTTTCAAACAAATTTTTTCATTTTAAAATCACATAAATCTCATCAACACATTTCACAAAATACCCAATTGTCAAATTATCGAAAACACATATTCATAATTGCTCGAATAAAATCCAGGATCCTCAAAAACATAACTCCATTTCGTGTGTACAATCAAGTCGGCACCTTCCCACGATCCTGAGAAGTACCTGAAACACATATCACATAACACGGTAACCACGAAGCTTAGTGAGTTCCCCAAAATACCACACACATCTCATTAGCCTCTCATGGCTATACTCGAATAAGACCCTCCGGTCAATGTGTCTTAGTGGAACCCTCCGGTCCCACAACTCGGGTGGACCCTCCGGTCCTAACTCAGTAAGCTCAGAATAATACACAGCATAAATCACAAAGACATAATGCAGGATATCACAATACTTAATATAAGCACATAAGACCCTCCGGTCACACAAAGATTACCACTCTAGGTAAGTATAGTGAGAAGACTCGCCTCGCAAGCAAGCAAAAAACCTCGTATACGAATCACCGATCTAGCCTCCGCCTATCATATACGATAATTATCTCAAATTAGCACTTCAATCATAATTCTAAATAAACCAAGCTATTTTCTCTCTCTAACTCTTTGGATGGGTAAAAGACCATTTTACCCCTCCATGGTCCCCATAATCCCTGTCTTGACCAAACCCTAAAGTCAACAAAAGTCAACACTCGAGTCAACAGCCCATGTTGACCCGACTCGCCGAGTATAGCTCATGAACTCGCCGTGTATCGCAGAACTAAGTACATCGTGAAACCCGAGTCAACTCGCCGAGTTGCTAACCAACCCGTCGAGTCCATACAGTGTCCAGAAGACCAAGAAAACCCCACCTACTCGTCGAGTTGTCCCATCAACTCGTCGAGTCCACTCTGAATCCAAAGTCGGGTAAAACCCTTTCAACTTGTCGAGTTGTCTCATCAGCTCGCCGATTCAGCAATGCGTTTAAACCATCGGGGTAACCCTAACCGACTCGTCGAGTTGTCTCATCAACTCGTCGAGTCCCTTAAGTCTATTTTCCCATTCAGACGATTTTAGACAGAAATAAGGTCTCATACTCTGGATCTAGCCTCCTAACGCTGAATCATCACGTAAAGCTGCAAGCCTTACGTTCATGCATGGCATATAGGGATCAAAATGCCAAAACACGCTCCATAAAGGTCTTTATGCTTGAAGACTTTCCCAAAGCTTAATAAAGCTCGAATCTTTGGGCTCATAGGGACTCATATAGCTCAGATCTATAGTCTCCACTCCCATGACCAGCTCAACAACTCCAAACCAAAAGATTGATGGGATAAAGCCCTAAAACTCTTTAGAAAGACATCTAACAAAAGGAATGATCAAGGAGATAGCTTTTTACCTCCAATTGACAGCTAGCACCGAAAGAACACTGGACCCAAAGCTTCTTCTCGTTCCAAACCTTCTTGCTCTTCATTCCCCTTCTAAGAATGCACTTGAACACAAGATCTTTAGCCTTTCTCTCTCTCACAACGACTACAGCTCGTCTAGGGTTTCTCTCAGTGTGTCTAAATGGTTAGGGAGGCGGAAATGAGGGCTTAAGGGCCTTTAAATAGGGTGCAAGCCCTAAAATTAGGGTTTTCTCAATACATACTTAACTCGTCGAGTCCAGCTCCTCGACTCGACGAGTAGGCTTCAAAACACGCGCGGCCAGCTCAGCTCCTACACGACGAGTTGGTACCAACCAACTCGTCGAGTAGGTCCTACAATGTGCATTATAACTCTCCAGTCACATCCATGATTCAGGGTGTTACAAAAACAAGAAGATTGTGTTCTTCACTGTGACAATCAAAGTGCAGTGCATATCGTGAAAAATCCGGTGTTTCACAGCCGAACGAAACACATAAAGACGCGATATCATTTCATACGAGAACTGATAACTAATGGTACACTAAATCTGAGAAAATCCTTGGTACGAAGAATCCAGCTATTATGTTTACTAAAGTGGTACCAACTGATAAGTTAGAGTTGTGCATGGCTTCACTGGGCTTTCAGGAACTTGAAGATGAGGCAGGGACAAGAGAGAGAGAGAGAGAGAGAGAGAGAGAGAGAGAGAGAGAGTGAGTGAGTGAGTGAGTGAGTGACAGAGAGAGTGAGTGAGTGACAGAGAGAGAGAGAGAGAGAGAGAGAGAGAGAGAGAGAGAGAGAGAGATACAGACTTGCTTGGCAGCTGAATGATCAAGCCTCCAAGTGGGAGATTGTTAGATCTGGAGACTTATCATCAGATCGTGAATTTTAAAGACTGTAAATGTTTTTGACCTTTTTTGTGTTTTTTCAGTCGGGCTTGGCCTTTTAGGTTTAGGTCAGATTTTCTCGTTTATATATTTACAAACGGCCGTATCTGTAACATTATAGCTGAAAAGTGTGTGGAATAAAATCTCTCTCTGGGTCGACAATGGACGTAGCCTATCGCAAGATAGTGTGAACCACTTAAATCTTTGTGTTTTGTGTACTTTGATTTCATTTCTGATCTCTCTTATTTCTCATATCTGTTTTCGTTTATTGTTTTCTTCTATACCTAACAACTAAAAGTGTCGTCACTAAAGACCTTGCCACTAAAACTCAGTATTATTGTAGTGTCACTTTTGGTTTATTATCTTATAAAAGAAACAATGTGCAAAAACAACTAATATATGGACGTACATCTTCACCCCCATTTAAGTGTTTAACTCGTCACCCATACAACACCAAATGGAATAAAAAACAACATATGCGCACTTTGCTATTTTGATCGAAACGGCAACTCGAATCTCTCAACAGCATGTTGACAATATTTGGAGGATGCCTTTTTTACTAAAAGAGGGATATGATTCAAATGCCCTAGTCCACCACTCGAACTTCTATAAGGCTATAACTACGCATATCTCGCTTCCTCGAACACAGATTCTCTTTCTTTCTACACTTTTAGAGCAGGAATCACAGGAATACATCAGAAAAGGAAAAAATAAATCGAGAAAGATGGCAGCCGGCAATGGCACCGGTGGTCGCATCAAGCCACCAACACTGGTACCCTTGTTGGAACTTCGCCACCAAACATCGACTCGGATTCAAAAACCCCTGACCCGGACCTCGAACTCTCGTTCCAACAACGGTTCTTCATCGAATCCAAAAAGCTATGGCACATAGTCGGCCCCACCATCTTCAGCCGTATATCCGCCTACGCCATGCTGGTCATCACCCAAGCCTTCGCCGGCCATCTTGGCGATCTGGAGCTCGCCGCCGTCTCCATTGCCACCAATGTTATCGTCGGCTTTGACATCGGCCTCTTGGTATGTACACAACTTATTATGACCCAAACAAGTTCAGTTGATTTCTCTGATTCTAAATATGTTTTCATGTGGTTTAATTTCCAGTTGGGTATGGCGAGTGCGTTAGAGACTTTATGTGGCCAAGCATATGGAGCCAAAACTATCGAATGTTGGGAGTGTATCTACAACGCTCATGGATCGTACTTTTCATATGTTGTATACTCCTTCTCCCATTATACATCTTCGCTTCACCGGTGCTGAAACTCATGGGACAACCGGACGACATATCTGAGCTCTCCGGTAGGATGTGCATGAGTTTGATACCACTCCATTTCAGCCTTTGCTTTCAGTTCACACTACAAAGGTTTCTTCAGTGTCAGCTTAAGACGCATGTCATTGCGTATGTATCAATGGGGACACTGGTGCTTCATTCGGCGTTGAGTTGGCTGGTTGTGTATAGATTTCAGCTGGGGCTGTTTTGGACGGTGGTTATGCTTAATTTCTTGTGGTGGCTGATTGTTTTGGGGATGTTCTGTTACTCTGTGTTCGGTGGTTGCCAGGAAACTTGGGGTGGGTTTTCCATGGAAGCGTTTAATGGATTATGGTCGTTTTTCAAACTCTCCGCTGCTTCCGGCGTCATGTTGTGGTAATTAATTAACATATGTTTTTCTGTTGATTATGCTATAAAGACTTCATTTATTTCACACGAATGTCTTTTTTTGGAAATTGCAGTTTGGAAAACTGGTACTACAGGATTTTGATCGTGATTACAGGCAACTTGGAGGACGCAAAGATTGCTGTGGATGCTTTGTCAATATGGTAATAATATAATATAATCTGATATATAATTGTTGTGGTCCACATTTCTTTATTCATGTTTTTACATGTGGTTGTCTCTTTTTGTTCTTGGTATTAATTATATATTTCTTTATTTTCTTATGTTAAAATACAAAAACAGAATTGGCATCTTGCCTTTTGCGATCCAAACTGCTTGCGAGTTGGGAGAATCAAAATATTGCAATTTTTATCATTAGGCCGTTGCCTTTGCTTATATATTTTTTATTTTTAAAGTGTTTCTTTTTGGAAAAATATAAAATATAATAATAACTAAATTGACCCACAAAAACTGTTAGTTGAAGATAGAATATATATATATATATATATATATATATATATATATATATATATATATATATATATATATATAGGGGATAGGGAATATACATTACAGTCCCACCTAAGCTTAGGTACTAAACTTCTAAAATATGTCGTTTTAACATGCTAAATATACCCGGTTTGGTTTCACTTGGTACATATATCGTCCTCCACAACATTTCTTTCTTTCATTATCGTTTTACCATCTCTGTTTTCTTTCCTCAATTATCGTTTATTACTTCACCCAAGTGAACATTACTAAACCTAAACCCTAAACCCTAAATCGAAACCCTAAACCCTAAACCCTGAACCCTAAACCTAAACACTAAACCCTAAATCTAAACCCTAAACCCTAAACCCTAAACCTAAACCTAAACCCTAAACCCTAAATCTAAACCCTAAACCCTAAACCCTATTGTGTCGATCTTGAATTTACATTTTGAAGTATTAATCGTGAATCCATTAACCGTAATCTTTATATAGTAAAACAATGTATTTTCAAGAGGTTTAGTACCTAAGCTTAGGTGGGGCTATAATGTATATTCTTTTTTCCCATATATATATATATATATATATATATATATATATATATATATATATTCCGAGTCATTTCTAAAGGAGCCACACAATAATGTTACCGCTTTATTCGAAGGAATTAAAAGTATGGTCAAATTTAATTAATTGTATAATTTATGATGCGAATAATGTTGAATAATAGTTTTGGAGTTCTAGTTTTAAAAGCCATAATGTTGTCCCATTAATATATTTTGTAAGAAAATATATTATATTTTTAGTTAATGGGTACGTAAATAGTTAATTAACAGAAATAGTTAAAATTAAAAAAATAATAAAAAAAAGGTTGTAAATTAAGCTAGCTAGCTAAGGTGTTTGTATATGTACGTATAATTGTGTGCGCTTCAATATAGAAACGGATAATAGATGTATGTATTAATGAGAATCTTGTAAAATTATTGAACAATACTAAAGTTTTAATTGTTACTACCTCTTTTGATCATGACCAATATATAATATCTATATTCATTTTTTTTCTGTAGCATGTCTATCAATGGTTTGAACTCATGATCCCTCTTGGATTCTTTGCTGGAACAGGGTAGGTTTCTTAAATCTTAATATATATACTCATTCAAAACATATATTCGCGTTGCAGAAAAATGAATTTGCAAGGGAAACTTTCTCCTAAAAATATCTTCTGACAAAAGGAACCTGCCCATCTATTCACAAGCAAATAGAAGACCCAAGTTTCTTCTGGGAGGGAATTTAAATAAACCCCGGAGCTTATTGAATCGATTCCTTAACAGATGACAAATATATATCCAGTAAAAACGAAATTTGTGTTTGTAAAGGAACTTTAAAGATTAATTCTTGACATGTAATACTTTATTAATTTGTGATCACGTGATTCAGAGTAAGGGTTGCAAACGAGTTAGGAGCAGGAAACGGGAAAGGTGCTAGATTTGCTACCATAGTTTCCGTTACAACATCTGCAGTGATAGGTGTCTTCTTCTGGATCTTGATCATGTTATTCCACAATGAGCTAGCATTAATATTCACCACCAGTGAACCTGTCTTGCATGCCGTAAGTAAACTTTCAGTTCTATTGGCCTTCACCATTCTCCTCAATAGCATTCAACCCGTTCTTTCAGGTGAACCCATCCTCATTTTGAATCTATATATATTACCCTACTTTGAGAACCACTACATTCATTAATACTCAAACCATTTGATCTGATAGGTGTTGCGGTTGGTTCCGGATGGCAGGCATATGTAGCATACATAAACTTAGGTTGCTACTACTTGATAGGTGTCCCCCATGGGAGTTGCCATGGGGTGGTTTTTCCATCTTGGCGTGATGGTATGTAGACATTTGACATTTTGTTTTATTTAGGTTATCTTTATTACACTTGACTATATTGGACAAACTTTTTATGGCTATTTTCAATAATGAGGATGAGAAGGGCATCATGTCTTGATCATCATAAAGAGATCAAGAGCGAGTTTAGGGTTTCCCAGGGTGAGACAGAAAATTGCAATTTTTGTTACATTGGCAATTGTTTGCATGACAATCTAATGTATGTCAAATATTGTCCATCTTTTCTTTGTGTTTATGAAAGATTTAAGAAGTGTATTGCTTAGGGTATTTGGGCTGGAATGATCTTCGGAGGAACTGCGGTTCAAACAGTCATATTGGCTATCATTACAAGTCGTTGTGATTGGGAAAAGGAGGTAAGCTACACCTGACTTTATAAAAAAATATTCAAAATCAATACCTCTATATCAGAGTAAGTATGTGTTACAAAACTTTCAGGAACAAAGAGCAAGAATGCATTTGAAGAAATGGGCAGTTGCTAATTGACCATGCATGAAAAGTTCCTATCCCTCTTAAAATTTGGTACCATTGGTCTCTTTCTTCATTACATTTGAAATTTTGCTCCCATCCCAAAAGCTGTTTGGCTGTTTGGTTTTATCATTTTCTTTCATTTGTTTGTGATGATATCAGATTCTGGTGCGGAGAATGGTTTGATTGTGCTGTTTCAGAATTATGGAAATAAATAGTACAGAATTGAAGTAATCAAACAAAAACCAAGGGAGTTGCCAAAGAATTCGATGCTACAAATTTTATGACCCAATTGTAATTTTCTTATGTATTTGTCAAACCATTTTCCTCCATTTACACTGCTACAGAAGCAATAAAAAGAATACTGTTGAAATTGGTAATACAGTATGATCATACTTGAAGACTAAATAGAGTACCGATTGCATGACCTACTCTATAAGCATTATAAGACTAAGAAATTCTCAAAAAAAAAAAGTAGGGTGCAGCTTTGAGGGTGAGATGCCATTGTTGAGTATGATTATGCAGCTAGGGGAGATCCATCAGGCTCCATCAACCATAATTTTACAACATAAAGAATCCCTTTAAATACTTAAAGAGTATGCATGTATTATCATATATCCTCTTTAGCATACACTAATCACATAATAATCATATGATGCAAAAGTTCACTTATTGCAATGTTTAAGCTTAGTAATTAACTAACAAAGACAACATGGTTGTATGAAGGAGTTTGTTTGTTTTGATGAGAACACACATAAACAGGGGAATAAGTATAACAGAGGAAAACTATGAATGGAAAAAGTGCAATGTATTTCATTGTCCAATTTCACATGGGCTTTTTAATTATTTACTTACTATATTGGAAGGAAAGCATAAAAAACGCAGCAAACTTTTGAGTTTATCTCTACCAAAAAACAGGGAAAAATATAAAGACCAAAAATAAAATTAAGACAACTCCAACTCATTGAAACTTCTGGATTACTCCAACATTATAAAAATGAGCATTAAATATCATTATAGAAATATAGGAAAATACATTTGGATGATAAAAGAATGTTGTTGGAGTTATAACAAAGCTGCCAATGAAAAAAAAAAAAAAAAAAACATGCGATTGCCAGAGTGGTGAGTTAGGAGTCCTGGAAACCAGGTTATCAATCACAAAAGAAGGATAATTTGTGCCAAAGAGTGAACTCCGTTATTTTACATGGAACTGAGTGACCAGAATTGCACCCCGATTCTTTTATGGACCAAAACTAAAATATTAGTTAAACCTTGGGACCAAAAATGTTATGTTATCAAAGGTTCTCATTTTCTTATGCCAAAGGTCTTCACCATTCATATTGTTATAAATTGATATAACTATCTCACAGTATAAATAAGTCATCAACCCCTACTATCAAAAAACAATCCACCATTTTCAACATATGATTTTGACAAGTCAACTGTCAACAACAGTAAAGTCAAATCAACAAATCCAAAACAGCTCAAAAAACTATACACCTGTTAATATAAAGTAAGACAAAACATATTTGATGTAAGGACAAGACAACATTGTACAAAGATGAGTTGTTTTCATTGTGTCTGTTTCTCTTCAGAAGCTGAATTGGGTTGACTTTCTGGCCGCAAACCTGTTTGACCATTTGCAGAGTTGTGTTCCCCCTGCTGCTGCTGATCGTCTAACTTCATATTGGATTTAAATGGTCTCTCAAAATTTCTAGCAGTTCCCGGATCAATTACCAAATTGTTGAACTTTTGATCCTGCAAATACATAATATTTATACATCAAACGATAATTACCAAATTGTGTATTATTTATGTCACTTTGATAGTCGCATACGACAAGTCATGACATTTTCTTTATATAGCAAAAACTAAACTCTAAAGATTCTATAATTAAATTTCGTATAAATTTATTCAACCATAAAGTAACAATTTAGAGTATGCTATATGCATTATCTTAAAAAACAATTTAGTTAAATGCATGAAATAGCAATGTACTTTCACTTACTTGTGTATTACTACCTTTGTCCCATATTTATTGTCCACTTTTGACTTTTGAAGTCTTTATTCTTCAACTTTGACCTTAAATATTTTTGTTTTTGATAAATAATAATACTTCATGCAAAATATATGAATGGATTGTGCTTTAAATGTCTTTGCATTGTTATAAGTTTCATCATGTAATTTATAACACAAATAAATATATTTAAGGTCAAAGCTGAAGAATAAAGATTTCAAAAGTCAAAAGTAGACAATAAATATGGGACAGAGGGAGTATAAGTTGTAACATCCTACTTTCAATTTTCCATTTCTTTCTTCTACAGCATTGTAATTTTAATTTTATTTTTCTTATTAAGGCATTGTACTTTCGGAAAATCTACTCAATTAAAGCATTCTGCTTTCAATTTTTTTTCTTATTATAGCAACGAAACTTGTTTTGTATCTTTTTGAAAATACAGTGTGCAAAGGACATATAGTAAAAGTACAATTCTATTTCTTGCATTTAACCCTGCACTATAATAATACTAATAATAAAAATAGGATCAAATGTGTATTTATGCAACAGATTTTCATCTTTATCCCAATTTATCAGGAACACGTTTCTTTATAAGAAGAATGCAACGTTTCATTTTATGACCCAATATCTATTTTACCCTTAACATATTTAGCCAGCTAACACATAGTTTTTGCATAAATTGGTAAAAAATAAAATAAAGAGTAAATTACACGAATGGTCCCTACGGTTTAAGGTAATTTGCGCGTTTGGTCCCTAACTTATTTTTTTTAACTCGGAAGGTCCCTACTATTTGTTTTTGTTACGCTCTTGGTCCCTGTCTTACCTAAAAAACTATTTTGCCCTTGATTTTTTAATTTATTTAAATAAACACACCCCCAACCCCACCCCCCTCACCTTACCTTACCTTACCTACCCCATCATTTTTCCCTATTTAAATAATAGTCTTTTTAGATAAGACAGGGACCAAACACGTAACAAAAACAAACAGTAGGGACTTTCCGAGTTAAAAAAATAAGTTAGGGACCAAACGTGCAAATTACCCCAAACCATAGGGACCATTCGTGTAATTTACTCTAAAATAAAATAAAACATTTGTTCCACAAATTGGTAAAAAGGGTAAAACATTGTTGCATAGATTGGTAAATAAAAAAAAAAGTACCCTTTTTGGGTGGGACAAAAAGCTGCAATTTTTGTCTGATTGACATAAGCCACCCAGTCAGGTCAAAGGTAAAACACTGTACAACCTGTTGTATGATGTCAAAGGTAAAGAAACACTTACACCTTGCAAAGCTTCAAGTTTTTTCTGCAACGCCTCATGTTCAGCCTGAATACGAAATGGGACCCCATGTTTTTGATAAACATTATTTTGAGCCAAATCTTCAGTAATGTCACTAATAGTTGTTGCAAAAGGATGATTTGCAGGAATCCATCTAACTGTATCAGGGTCCACGTCAGCAGGCACCGGGTCCCCTTCTTTAAGGAATATTGTTGGCCTTTTCCATTGATACGCTCTTGACCTCCTTTTTTGATGTATGTTTTGTTCTTCTCGTGTCAAAGTCACAGGGGCTAAACGGTAAACTTTTCCACACATTTCCACTGATGAATTGTTCTTGCTAATTTTTACTAACGGGTTGTTAAATGGATCATCATACATGGGTGTCTTTGATCTGTAAAAAGACACACACACAGGATTTGTTAATGTCAGTAAATAGATTATAGATATGTACTTTTTTTATTTTGTCCATCAATGAAGGTGCTGAGATGGCATCCACATGTACACCTCATGAACCACTATAGATTCAAAGACCATTCGATCTAGGTCACTTGGTAAAAACTTGACTGGTTAAAATGCTGACATGGCGTCCATGTGGCATACACTTGTACACCTCATCAAAATATATAAAAAGGGGACTTGAAAGACCAGAATCCAGGCTTGTTAGTTTAATAAAACAAAATTACAGTTAGCTTGATAATACCTACAATCTCAAAAAATGAGATCCTTTATTAATGTAATGAATTTTTTACCATAAAATAGTACAAAAATGATTTCTTTATTAATTGTACAAAAAAAAGTATGTTACTATAAGTGACCTTATCCCATATGTACAAGCTAAACTTCATATAACAGTTTTTATAACAGTATATAATAAATACTCTTGTTTCAAGAAAATTGCAGAAATTCCATCTATGGAGTATGGACTCTCAAGAAACTCGCAACATTCGATCATTTGGCAAGTTTTCAGATCATGAATTACTTATCATCCATTTGAAGTATCACAAACAACTATTGCTTTGCTAATGTTCTTAAACCACAAATTTTCACTATCTTTTGGTACTAAAGGGTATTTTGGACATTTTGTAATGTATTATAGACAAGTTTATAGCAAATAATAGAAAATGAAGAAAGGGGTTGGAGTCATACATGCCTCTTCTATCAGAATTTAGTTGGCCACGTCTGACAAGATCAGCAACTGATCCCTGGCGTTGGTACTTTTGCTTTCTTGCCACATAAGCTCTCACTGCAACAATCAATACAGTTGCTGCTATACAAAACCCTAATGCAAATTTGGAATGAGGAGAGCTTTTTATCTGTAAAAAAAAGTGAAAGAGAATATTGATTATCAAATAGTAGAGGAAGATAACTTAAGTTCAATAACATAAGTTTAATATAGTTAAAAATGTGAATAGATTTGAAGAACATACCGAAAAAATAATGGGAGGGAGAGATATGACTGTTTCTTGTAGTCTTGAAACTTGGTTTTGAAGGACCCGTGTGGCATTGTTTTTTGTTTTGCTGATGATTGTTTCGTCTTTGATTTGATTATCTTCACTGGATGAGGCTTTAAGAAAGAAATCTTTACGTTTGTTATTCCCTTTCAAAATTCGGTACCTTTTGGTGAACCCTAGTTGTGGTCTAACTTCAAATGCATATGTTGAAACTTGATGCTTCAAGAACACAATAATTGGAAGAATTAAAAATGGAGTTTACATTGTTCAATAATTTGCTTGTATTAAAGGAGAAAAAAAAAAGCAGAGTCCAAAATGAAGAATATCCAGTCCAAAAGCAATTGCACAAATGATGATACTCAAATTTTACACAAATATAAACAAAAAAGCAGCCTAATAGCATGAAACATCGACTCACTTATCGATATCGCAAGAACCCACATGAGAATAAGCTCGTTCGTTAACTTATTCGACGAAAATCGACAATGCCCACATAGAACAAGATTGAGTTTTTGTAGAATATACATACCGGAATCGAAGTAGGATGCAATTGCAGAGTCCAAAATGAAGCCATTTCAGTTACTAAAGTATAATCCCATGGTGGAAATA